ATTTACATAGCCACATGTTTCTAGGGGCTACCATATTGGACAGTGCAAGTCTCACTAATGAAATATTTATTGAGTCCCATAGCAAGCAAGGAATTTGGAGATACTGGAATTTGAAGCAGATAGGACCTCCTAACCTGGGAGGAAAAAGAAATAGGTCTCTGTGACAACAGAGGGTGAGGACCCTAGGAGTAACAGAATGAGAGGAGAGTTGAAAGGTTAAGAGGTCATGGGCTACAGATTTGGGGTGGGCAGCTCAAGAAGAGCAAAGACCATATTATGACCAAAGGAAATCGTTGCTGAATCGAAGAGGAGGAGATCAAGGAATGGTAGCACGAGAATGCTGGGTGGGTCACTGAATTGGATGATTGTGTGACTGGTATTCTTTTGAAGATGGCCATATCTTGATGTCAAAGTCATCAGTTGCTGGGCAGAGGTGGCTAAAGAAGGAACAAGTTTGAATATTGAAATATAAAGTAAGAATTTTATTTTGTTTCTGTGTGATGGAGGTCAATAAAGTATAATATTGAATGTGGTCCTTGAATTAAGAGCAAGAGAGTTTGGCCTTCCAAAGGACAAATGAGATTTTAACATTTCACCAAGTATAATGTAAATTTATAGTGACTCATGTTTGGGAAATAAAAATGTAGAATATTCGTATGGACCTCATAAAATCTTATTACATATGGATGTAAGGCTTCAGATTGAAAAGGAGTCTCTTTATATGAGGGCTACCCGCTTTTGCTGTTATTGTCATCCCAGCCAATTTTTCTGAATCTCTTACTGCATGATCTATGAAAGTGGTAGTACTATGGATGTTCTTAAGATAGTGCTTTGTTCTCCAGTCTTATTGCACACCAATGGGGCGCATCCTTTTGTTAGTTTTGGTTTATCCAGCTGTGCTGGTTTGAAGCCGCACATGCCTTTTCCTGACACCTGTAGCTCATCTCGGATGAAGGTGTTAACAAAGAGCTATACTAAATAGGACCACCCTGCAGCCATCAGTTCCCAAGCCTCCCATGCCCACCTCCTGGGGGAATTAAGGGAAAGAAAGCTGAGAGCAATCTAACTCTGCTTGTGTTAGGCTGCCTGGACTGCCATAACAAGATATCACAGACTGGGTGACTTAACAGACATTTATTTCGTCACAGTCCTGGAGACCAGAAGTCTAAGATCTGAAGGCCAGAAGTCCAAGATCAAGGTACCGGCAGTGTAGGTTCTTGGTAAGGACCCTCTTCTTGGCAGCCACCTTCTCTCTCTGTCCTCACATGGTGGAGAGAAAAAGCTCTGGTGTCTCCTCCTCTTCTTAGAAGGACAGCAGTCCTATCAGATTAGGATCCCAACCTTATGGCCTCATTTAACTTTAATTACCTCACTAAAGGCCCTGGCTCCAAATACAGTCACATTAGGAGTTAGGGCTTCAACATAATGGATTTGAGAACTGAGGATGGGGCAGGGGTGGGGGGTGGAGGTGGGTGAGGGTAACACAATTCAGCCCGTAACACGGCTCCTGCATGTGAGGGCGTAGAGCAGCATGACTTGGACCGAGGAATGGCTAGTTTTGTTGTTTTGTATTTTCTTGACATAGAACTCGTTAGTAGCAAGTTCTGCTAGAGAATGAACCTACCTAAAATCTGACACTATTCTTCCCTCCTTATTGTCTCTTTTTCTCCTGTCTCAGATGGATCTGTCTAAAATGCAGTTTGGGTATTTGTAGATTATAATTCAACTATATATAGAAAGACTTCTCACGCAGTAATTGTATAAAGGGTGTGAAGAGGTGTTGTATGTGGGATGAATAAATCTGTGGGAAAATGACCACTGTGCTTGTCGTCAAATAACAACAAAATCAAAGACATGCGTTTTTCCATAGCAAGTAGGTAGAAGCAGGAGAGGATAATAAAGACCATTGTTGTTAACATTGTGGGGAGGGGACATTCTCATGACACTGCTGGTGGGCAGATATGTTGGACCAGCCTGGCAGCAGGACAGTTTGGTTTTGGCTCTCAAAAGTCTGAGACAAGCACAAGGTCCTCATTCCATCAATACTATTTCTGGGAATTTATCTATTGAAAGTGTCATAAATGTAAAAATGGGCTAAAAATTACAAACCAAAGATAGGTAATTTATGAATTATTGAATACTACAATCAACTATCACATACAGTTATTGAGTACTAAGTATTCATTACATCATTAAGCTGTACAATAATTTTTGTTGACGTAAGAAATAGTTCCTGATATGTTGCTGAGCAAAAGATTTTTAAAAAGTCAAAAATGTTACATTAATACTCCATTATGTAAAAGTTATTATGCAGAATGAGTTAAATCAGAAAAAAAAATTTTGTCAGGAAATCCTATACCAAAATACCGGTCAAAGTAAATATGCTTATCTAGGATGGCAGAATTAGTGATTATTGCGCTTCCTTTGTTTTCTTCTTTTTGTCTCCCTACATTTTCCAAATTTACCGGATTTAGCACAGATTAACTACTAAATTTTAGTGGATTAGCTCTAATTAAAGACTAAAGTACTTAACCATAGACTGCAAAGATGGAAGGCTTCAGGCTTTTTATTCTTACCATTAGGTAATGCTCAGCTTGGCTCTGCCATTCTTTTACACCGTCCTCCCTCTCTTCTGTACGCTCTGAGCTAAGAAGATTGGGAGCAGAGGCTGTCAGTCTTCGCTATCCATACGTAGTGATGACCAATGGTTAAATTAAATCTGGGTGTTAAACATTATAAACCATGGAAGTTATTCCAGGTCATTTCCATTCAGGCATGGGTAGCGGTAGCTCTGTGTGGTGGGATAAGCCTTGAAGATTCCACTTCTCTTTCCAGTATCGCTGCAAGGAGAAAGTGGTAGATAAACAGACCAAAATTTCCTTATATTGTGTGGGTCAAAGTTGTCAACTGCCTAAGGGTATACCTTGATTCATTGCCTATTAAATCCCATATTTTATTATGACAGGTTACTGTCACACTTTTAAGAGTTACATTTGATAAAAATTGGTGTGTAGACTAGCATTTAGGAGGCAGTACAGGTTATGGGAAATAGGCTGACACATCAAAGGACACTAAAAAAGGAATAAAAAGGGAGAAAACCTGAGTTCTAGGCTCACTTATTTCACTTAAAAATATGTTGGTAATAATACTGGCCCAGAGCCTGAATTCACATAGGCCCAATAAAATGTAGAAGACACAGAAATTAAAATAACAACTTGAAATATGTAAGAGTCCTCCTTTCTCAGCTTCAGGCTTTCCTTATATAGAGTCCCTTTTGGAAGCTGCTGACGAGGATATAGGAGGAGACGCAAGGTCAAGGGTGTGTCTCCTGCTGACCAGAGGTGACTTTGCACACAAGAGCTGCCATTTTCCTTTCTTCTTCTTTTCTGCTCCTGCCCCCTTCCCCCATCTCCCAAACTTCTCCCAAATAGAGGGGCATGGCCTTCAGGCTGTTTTACCTGGGCACAACATTTGCTGATCTGTTTATAATTAGAAGGCCTGATCAAATAAGAAAACCACATATGAAAGCAAGTTGAATACACAAATGTACCTTATTATTGTCTTCCCAATCCTACCACCATAATTACTTAAATCTCTGACTTTCATCCTTTTGGTATCCATCGCCTAAAATACTTTCAACTTCTTAGCCATGGTTGCATGTTGCCAAATCATATTTAATTTGATCCTTACTTTTCGCTCAAATTCTGCTTTCTAATATTATTTCCCTAAACCCTCCCATATATTCTTTGTTTGTAACAGATTTATTTTTCTAATGCTATTCTAACCCTCTCTGGTAATATTAGAAGGATCTTACTTCAAAAAATTAAAACAAATCAAAACTAAGTTGCAATGTCCTATCAGAAAATTAGACGGCCACTTTTTAAATCATATATTCTAAGGAAAATTCTGTAATGACACCCTTTTGGGGTTGCATAGCCCTAAATTATTAACTAAATGTAGCTAATGACATAGTGCAACTGCTGCTATGAAAATCATGTCCCTTAGTGTAAAACCCAGGATGCTCAGTTACAGTATAATAGGAAATACCTTTTAACATTCACACAGCACTGCTTCCTGGAGGGACATGTAATGTGATAGGTTTAGGCAAGAAAATAACCTTTATTTACTCACAGCCTTTTATTTGAATAGTGATTTTGTAGGGCTTTGGTAAAAACTGTCCTCAGTTAATTATTATTTCCTCTGCTGATGAGCATTGCTAGGTAATATATGTAACTACTTTGGGCTTATGTGTTCAAGAAAGACAAATACAATGGAACAAAATAACTTTTGGGAATCCTGTTTTTAACCTGCACATGTGTGTCCACTTATGAATTGAGCTGATGTTATTTGAGTTTCTGCTTTCTTTCATAAACGAACTCAGACAAAATAAACTGGGGAAATGAGCCTTGCCAGCTTGAAGGAGATTTTGTCTGCTGTTGGTCACAGAGTAGAAACTCGGTAAATATTTGTGCAGTGGGCTAGTTATTTACTGTATTTCACAATACCAACTAAGCTTCTCATGTTAATTCAGGTATTTCCTGAATTATAAGTTATTGATCATTTATTTTGTGTGATTTCTATGTAAAGGGGAATATCTAATAGGTTTTCTATTGAGCTGGAAATACACCAATGCACAAGTAATAAATGGATCTGAAACAAGTATAAAATGGTAGTTTGACTAGCTTTTAGATTCAATACTTCTTTATCTCTTTACTCTTTCTTATAATTTTAATTCCTTTTCTGTCTCATCATTTCTTCCTCCACTTACCTCAAAGATAAAGCACAAAGTTGTGAATGTATTCTGAAATTTGTTTGGGGTTGATGTAGGAGAAACCATTCTATTTACTTGTATTGTTTCCCCTCCTATAATTATGTCATGTTCTTTCTCTGTAGTTCATAATTTTCATTTTGCCAAAGTGTGCTGCTTAAAATTGTGTGATAGTTATGTCTGTTTATAGTGACAACATCAGTGGCATTGAGTGTGTCCTCTTGCATTGCAGGAGCTATGCCTGTCCCAGACCAGCCTTCATCAGCCTCAGAGAAGACGAGCTCCCTGAGCCCTGGCCTGGCCACCTCCAATGGGGATGGCTCAGAAACAGAAACCACTTCTGCCATCCTCGCCTCGGTCAAAGAACAGGTAGAAACGTTCCACTTTTGTGACATGTGTATGGCGACATTTTTAAAATGTTCTTTCCTGATGAACAATGATGATTCTATTATGTTGGAAAAAAATCATGATTTTCTAGCAGAATGTTGGCATTCATTATAAAATTAATATTAAAATATGATTATAATTGCTTTTGACTCCATGTTTTTATTCACAATTGAGGCAACTTTTCCTGAAAAAATATGTCATAGGAAAAAGAAAACTTTATAGTCAAAATTTCCTATAGGTGAAGTTTTGGCAGATTCCATAACAGACCTGACTTTTAATGCTGTTAAATGCATGAAGCCAAATAATTGGTCTTTAGAAAATATAAAGTCTAATAAACTGTCAAAATCTATCCACTGGGCGAAAAAGTTAGTATATGTGACAACAAATGAATATCACATTGGGTCAAGGCAGTTGGTCTTCCCAGTGTTTCTGAGATGGATCTGGTAGAAAGCATTTCAGAACTTTCCCTTTAAAACTAATCAAAGTCAGAATGATTCCTGCTCCAACATTATTTTATTATAAAAATAGATAAGTAAATAAAATCTGAAGTCTTAGTCTTAAAAAAATTGTTTCATAAAAGTCATGCTTCTTGTAAATAAAAAGTGGTAAACAATTAAAGAAAGCTGGCAAATAAAGATTTTTTTATTCACTTCTTTTAGCCTGTGATAGAGTAAATCAGTATCTTTTTTAAAAAAGTGAAAGAGCATTCTGTGTTTGAATTAAATGATTGGGGGGTGCTGAATTAGCAACAGTGGTTGGGCGAGAGTCACATTACTTACCTCCAGGAACATCTCAACAGAGCAATAGTCTGAATGGGCCAATGAAGGACAGTTACTCAAAAAGAAGGACTCTAGATTTCCTAGAGGACACTGGTTTTGTTTAATGAATGGGGACTGATTTAGGTAAAGGTGGGAAACCACCTAGATGGTCAAGCTATCAACAGAGTAGCTGAGGGAAGATCCACTGACAGAAGAGATCCGTGATGCTGTCAGGCAAAAATGTGCCACCAGGTCAGGAAGTGTGCAGCTACGTAGGTCACAAAGGAAAGTGGAATAGATTGATTGGGTCATCTAGTTTGTGAAAATGGTCAGTAAGCAGGAAATTGGGTGGAGGCATAGGCTGTATTGCTTGAAGAGTTTGGTTCCAAAGGCCCACCCATGAGAGTTTTCTGATTATTTTTAAGGAGTGATGGAAAAGGAGAGCAAAAGTCCATGCCATTCCCCATACTCAAGGTACTGCTTTGTTATAGATGGTTATGTCATGGGTTCATATTCTGGTATGATTTGAAAGCCTTGCCTGGCCACTACCTTTAGAGTAGTGACAAAATATAAAACACGAGGAATAAATTTGACAAGAAAACTACAACACCTGTCTGATGAAAACTGTAACATTTTGTCAAAGGACATAAAATAATTCAGAATAAATGAAAAGACATGCCGTGGTCCTGTGTAGCGAAGCTTGATATCATAGCAACATGACTCTCTCCCAAACTAACATATAAGATTTAGGCAGTTGTAATTAGGATCCTGTGGCTGATTGTTTGCTTCCTTGGCAAACTGGATCAAACCCATTTTATTTTATTTTATTTATTTTTTTTTTTTTTAAATTTTTTGTTTATTGCAGTAACATTGGTTTATAACATTGTAAAAATTTCAGGTGTACATCATTGTACTTCTATTTCTGCATAGATTACATCATGTTCACCACCAAAATACTAATTACAACCCATCACCACACACATGTAACCAATTATCCCTTTCACCCTCCTCCCTCCCCCCTTCCCCTCTGGTAACCACCAATCCAATCTCTGTCCCTATGTGTTTGTTTATTGTTGTTATTATCTACTACTTAATGAAGGAAATCATACGGTATTTGACCTTCTCCCTCTGACTTATTTCACTTTGCATCATGCCCTCAATGTCCATCCATGTTGTCACAAATGGCTGGATTTCATCGTTTCTTATGGCTGAGTAGTATTCCATTGTGTATATATACCACAGCTTTTTTATCCATTCGTCCCTTGATGGGCACTTAGGTTGCTTCCAAGTCTTGGCTATTGTGAATAAGGCTGCAATGAACACAGGGGTGCATGTACCTTTGCAAATTGGTGTTTTCAAGTTCTTTGGATAAATACCCAACAGTGGAATAGCTGGATCATATGGTAGTTCTATCGTTGATTTTTTGAGGAATCTCCATACTGTTTTCCATAGTGGCTGCACCAGTTTGCACTCCCACCAGCAGTGTATGAGAGTTCCCTTCTCTCCACAACCTCTCCAACACATGTTGTTTCCTGTCTTGTTAATTATAGCCATTCTGACGGGCGTGAGGTGATATCTCATTGTAGTTTTGATTTGCATTTCCCTGATAGTTAGTGATTTTGAACATCTTTTCATGTGTCTGTTGGCCATCTGTATATCTTCTTTGGAGAAATGTCTGTTCAGGTCTTTTGCCCATTTTTTAATTGGGTTGGTAGTTTTTTTGTTGTTGAGATGCATGAGTTCTTTATATATTTTGGAGATTAAGCCCTTATCAGAAGTATGGTTTGCAAATATCTTCTCCCAATTGTTAGGTTGTCTTTTCGTTTTGTTGATGGTTTCCTTTGCTGTGCAGAAGGTTTTTAGTTTGATGTAGTCCCATTTGTTTATTTTTTCTATTGTTTCTCTTGCCCGGTCCAAACCCATTTTAAAGATCATATGAAAGCATAAATATATGAGAGTTGTAAGGAAAATTTTGATAGAGAGATTTTACCTTACCAAACATACTAATCACAGTAGTGTCCAACTGGCCCAAAATAGAATGATCTCTTTAGGACATAACTGAGGGTTCAGGAGAGATTCAAAGATATGTAGGGTCCTCATTCATTTAAAGTACTTCAGTTTAGTACAAAGGCCCAGTGGCCTAGTGGTTAAGTTTGCACTCTCTGCTTCGGCGGCCTGGGGTTCACAGGTTCAGATCTTGGGCACGGACCTATGCGCCACTTATCAAGCCATGCTGTGGCAGGCATCCCACATATAAAGTAGAGGAAGATGGGCATGGATGTTAGCTCAGGGCTAATCTTCCTCAGCAAAAAAGAGGAGGATTGGCAACAGATATTAGCTCAGGGCTGATCTTCCTCAACAACAACAACAACAAAAAAGCAGTAGTTTAAATGATGTTAACATAACTGGCTAACCATCTGGAAGAAAATTAAAGCCTTTAATTCACAATATATACCGAAATATATCTCAAAGGGAAAGCAATGTAACTGTAAAAATAAAACTATATCCATATTAGAAGAAACATTGAGAAAATGTTCATGTAAATTACAGGTGGGGAAGGCTTTTAAGTATGACAGGAAACTCAGAAGCCATACATGAATGGTTGGTGCAGTTGGCAGTGTGAATACCAACAATAATAGCGATGAAAAATTCAGCAAAAAAGAGGTAGAAAAATAGGCCAAGAGAAAATATGTGTCACAAATATGACAAGGTGCTAATATAATTAATATATTAAGACTTCCTAATGTTGATGAGAAAAGAGAAACAAAAGAATGGAAAACTAGACAAAAAATATGAACAGGCAATTCATAGAAGAAAAATGCAAACAACCAATGAATATATGGAAATGTTTTTCACCCTAATGTACTAATCAGAGACATAGAATTCAAAATCAAAATATGATTTTCTTTAAGGTGCCAAGTAGACAAACGTTAAAAAATAGTATATATTGTAAGCTAGCTAGGGGTTAAAGTTTGAGGAATTCACACTCGTTTTCATTCCAAATGGGATTGTGCATTGCTGTAATCTGTGTGTAAAACGATATGTTTCTATGAATTGACATTTGAAATGTTCCATGGCCTTTGATAGTCATGGTTAGACAAATGTCGTATAGAAATGAGTGGCCTAGAACATAAGATTTTATGTATAAGCGTGTTTATTGCAAAATTATTTGGGATAGTAAAAAAATGAAACAATATTGATTGATGAAGAGTTGAAAAAATAATATATCCTTTATATAAAAGATATATCCTTTCTACATAATTATTAATAAAAAGGAGTTGGAGCTATATATCTAACCTTTGAAAAAAATCCATGAGGATTTTAGAAAGGAAATGACATAGTATTATATTATGCTGTTTTTTAAAAAGCAAAATAATAAATATGTTTTTGTTGGTAGCTGTTTATGACCTTCTAGAAAAGTATAGAATGAAATCAATCAAACTATTAGCATTATTTATCATATGTGTTTACAATTAGATGGAGGTGGGAATGGGCAGAGGATCAAGAAGAGAATCAAAAATGTGAAAAACAATTGAGAAACTGGAATAAATATTAGTTGGGTTTGGATAATAGAAAATATTCCTTCCATTGAAATAGTGATGCCCGTAGTTGAGAAAGTGACTAAGCTGCTTAAAGGGAAAATACGTTACTGTAAATAAAATGGCCTCTCTGAATCCTTGTTGAGAATTTAATAAAAATTTAATTCAGAAGAGTTTTTTTCTAATAATTAAAATAAATTCATTGTTCATTTTTGGGCAGCAAAGGTGAGATTCTTTGTGGCAAATAAGTAATGTGAGGAGGAATGAAATCTGCCCTGGGAAGCTGAGATAGAGCAGAGTGAAGCACCCAAATCAGACGCTTGGGCATTGGGTCCTGTGTGTGGTGTCTGCCCATGTGAAGGCAGAAATTAACAAGCAGCGAAACCCATGGACTTCCTTGGTGTGGCCAGATGCAAACAGCTAGTCTCTTCCTTCACTGGGAGATTTTTGTCCTAAATTATTCTTAAGGTCTCCTTCCTTTCTTTTTCTCAAGTATAGACTATCATCTATATGGAGTTAAAACTAAGTTCAGTATATTTGTTAAAAGTATTATCTGAGATTAAGAAAAAGTGACTGTAAAAGTTAATACTTTTGGGGCCGGCCCAGTGGCATAGTTGTTGAGTTCGTGTACTCCGCTTCGGTGGCCCAGGGTTCATGGGTTTGGATCCTGGGTGTGGACCTACAC